TCCAAACTAGAATGAGCTATGATCTTAGGAACACATTCCCACTGACATAAATCATCAACATGCACCGCTGTCAGTCCACACTGTCCACTCAGCAGTAAAATTCCGGGTATAAAGCTAAGCTGGGATGCATGGTGGACACATTGTCATTAACGTGTTCTTAACCGAAGCATGTCAACTAGCATAGATGAATGGATGGTATCAATAAATAGGTTTGACGGAACGCCTAGTATTAACTGCAAGACAAATGGTATAATATACGGAATAGAAAGATTTAAACAACCTGGCCATATGCCAAGACCCTTTTTAGCTCTTACAATATTTCCATCATCTTGAAGATAGTCAATACGAGGCACCTTAAAATCTCTTCCTCTGTTCTGATACCAAGATCCAGTTTCCTCATCCTGGACCATCAACATAACACCCAAAGACAACACAATTTTTTTTAAAGCCATAGGTTTTTGTAGATAAGTGAACAGAGCCTAAAACTATACATCAAATTAAAGAAGAAAAGCACTGAGAAGCTAGAAAAAGGAGAAAGTTTACCTTCAAGACAAAATTTATAGCTGCGATTGAACTGTTTATGTTGAAGTCAATCTTCACTTTATAAATTGCTTCTCCTTCCGACGATGCAAGTAATTTTTCTAAAGGAGTTTCGATTGCATAGTCCTAAATTGGTAATCAACATCAATATAAATTCAAGAATATGGAATTGATTGAAATAAAGAACAAATAGTAAGCGTCAATGGAGCAAAAAAAAAAGACCTTAATGCCAACAGAACCTGGAGGTCTCATATCTGGAGGGGGTTGATCCCAATCACTGAAACCATGAGAACATAAAATTTTACTATGTTGTGACTAGAATAATTATCTTAAACAAATTCACTGCATGCATGAACATGAGCATAAAAGGATTTAATCTGAAGTAGGAAACATTTAAATTTGTGATATTTCGTAATTCACAAGGCAAAAGCAAACCTGCCAACATCATCTATGTAATTAACTCCCCAGTGAAGAATCCACTTTCCTGGTAGACTGCATCCCACAGTAAGCTGCCAACTCTCATCATCTTTACCATTTTCTAGTCTGATTGTTATCTTTCCCTCCACCTGACATTCCGAGAAGTCGACAACCAATTGATAACCATACAAATCAAATATTGAAATTCATACTCTTAAAGCAAAAAACAACAGTAGGAGTTAGTAATCACAATAAACAACAAAACAAATCAAGAACGTATACAGATAAAAAGAAAGTGATTGAGCTAAAAAAAACTGGGGATTCCCATTTCTCTCTCAAAAACTTGAAATTTAAACACACAACAAAGAGAGAAAGAAAAAGGGAAAATAATTTCAAAAAATCCAACTCTCAGTGAATTTCTTTTTATCAATGTTAGATTTTCAAGAAATCAAGAATTAAACTAAATCCAGCAAACACTTCAAAAATAAATGAGTTCATTTAATCAATGGTTACTAAACTTTGCTATAGGTTATTACTTAGTCACTTAAATTTAAAAAGTTACTGGTTTGAACTTTGTCAAAGGTTACTATTTGTTCACCCAAATTTGAACTAAGTTGCCCATCCATCACCCATGTCATTTCCATCGGTGCACGTGAATAAAAATCAACTTGACGGATGGAAAATCCTACACGACACTGACAAAGTTAAAAAAATAACATAGTGAATAAAAAAATCCGCATTGTGCACGACGAAAATTGTCCATGCGAGTTACTAAAAATTACAACTGTTTTTTTTACTTACAAGAAGAAGGGGAGAACAGTGGTGAACTTCAATAACAGAAATTGCCCATGCGATTGCATGGACAACTTTCGTCGTGCGCCACATAGATTTTTTCGTCAAGCTGTTATTATTTTAACTCCTTGGGTGCCACGTATGATTTTCCATCCGCCAAGTTGATTTTTGTCCAGGACGGATAAAAATGATATGGATAATGGATGGGTAACTTCGTTTAAATTTAGGCGAGAAATGACCAACCTTTTGAATTTTGAAAAGTGAGGTAACAAGTAACTGTAGCTAGCAAAGAAGTTAGGTAAGCAAGTAGTAACTATAGCAAGACCATTGATTAATTTCACTGAAAAAATAAATAAAGTTGCAACCTCAAGTTTAAAAATTTTCCGAAAGTTTTATTAGTGTCATCATTATTGATCTCATCAAGGAAAACTCATACGCACGCTGATACAAAATCCCATTATATATAAGCGTAGATGCACAAAAATACGAGCGTATAAGTGCCACTTCGCAAATTTCGTATTGCCATGCGCGTAAAACGAATTGCATACCTTTTCAGGTCGTTTTAATTGGAAAGTTTCACTAAACACGACGTCGGAAGATTCAGTTGTTTCAAAGATGGCAGTATCGGTGGAGCTGGCTCGGTGAGGAAGAGCTTTAGCCGGGTTGAAATGGCGTGAGTTAAGGATACACGCGCCATTGAAGATCGGACTTCGGCTCCGAGTGTAATTTAGATAAAAGAGCCGGGCCTTTGCGAAACTTGGATGGGTAGGCCGGTGGAGGCGGGGGTGGCAGAAGAGCGGCGGAATTACAACTGTAGACATTTTTTTTAATCCCCTGGGCGTAGGGCCGTTTAGTGGATCTTTTTGCGATATTTATGAGTTAGTGACGGATGATATGTATTATTTACAAAATTTAATGTGTGGGTTTGTATTTTGTTGTAATTGTAAAATAGACCCTAAAAGCTTCAAAATTTGTACCCTGATCCTTATAGTTAAACATTAAGTTCTAATGAAGCAACATAGTAAATTAGTAATAATCGAGAAAAAATATACACAAACTTTAAGCCCATACAAAATTTGTGTTTTTCTTGTAACTTGTTTCGCTTCTTAATTTTTTAAGCTTTCATTTTTGTGTTTGCCCGTTGGAACTATTTAAATTTTTTAAAATACTTTTATTTGTGTAAGAAGTTTTTCGTTCACGACTTTATATATTTATATTCATCTTAATGTCAATGTAACTTCGTGGTTTAGGTTGAGATTCTCATGCAATAACATAATTTGCATATGACTTTTTGACATTCTTAGTTATCAGCCACAATGTTGGTGGCCTCATTCATTGTGTCATCCATGTTAAAGAAATGTTTAAAACCCTATAGAGAATGGAGAGACATGATAAATTTCAAGAAACTAAAATTGAAGAAAAGTTTATTCACTTAAATTTTTTATGTTTTTGTCTCAATTTTTGGGTTATTAAGGGATGTTAAACGAAATCGAAATATTACATTTTAATATCCTTTATAAGTGTTCGCGGTCTAGTTTTTCATTTCGTTAACAACGCACGAAATGTGCAACCTTAGTTAATGTTAAGCGAGTCAAAGTAGCTTGTTTCAAACTAATAATTCGAGAATTTCAATAACATGTAAACTTAAAAAAAAATAAAATAAAAAATTGACGATCATACGTTAGCCGAACTATAAATTGTCTACGTCATCTTGAAAGTCATTTCGAGAACTACATCATAAATATATCGAATGGTCCAAACAAACATTAAAAAATTGTTAAATATACGTCAAAAAAGAGACGTCTAACTCTTCAAATGGATTACTTTGACGAGCAGTAACATTTGCTACGATTTTTAATAGAGCAAAAAACATGTAACATTTATATGATGTTAATTTCATTTAAAGTCTCTCACACACTTACATGTGATCTCATTGAGATTCCAATATGCAATAAGAAAGACATATAAGCATAGTATTATGAAGCATAAGGGATAGAGAGAAAGAGATAGGGAAGACTTAAGTTTGAAGAACTAATGTAACGGATGTAAATATGTTAGTTTTGATCTTCACTTCTATTTTCGCATGTATGATTATGCCTATTAACTCAAAATGTCTATATCAATTACCATTTTCATCGACCTCAGAATTTTAAAAAAGAAAAGAAGTAGAAAAGTTTATTGGGTGTTTTTACAATTTAATGAAGTATGGGGCCACAAGTATTTTCTTTTCTTGGGAAAAGTTGATAACTTTTCGTGAAGATTCGAAGTGTGGCCAGTAGATTTTTTAATGATAAAGTAATCAGAAAAGATCATCAGTAAATGTATTTTCTTGTTTGACAATGCTTTTGTTTATAATAAATTGTCACTTTTTGCGGTTCTCAGTAGGTAATAAAGTGGAGCACCCCTTTTTTTAATGCGATAAGATGATCCTAATCATTTTTCAAGTGAATAAGTTTAACTCTAACCAAACATAAAAAGTGCATATTTGATGGAATTAAAATCAGATTTTTAATAAATTTTGATAAAAAAAAATTATGAAATTTGTGGTTGAAAAATTGTGAATCTCATAAAATATTTAATTAAAATCAATTGTTGATTAAGAAACTCTTGTGCGCTTATTAGAAATGGTAAAATTAAGACTTTTGATAAACTAACGAACAATTGGATGAAACTGTCTCGAGGTCCTTTGGCCACAATTTATTAAAAGATTTGAGACGTAGAAAGTTTAGGATTTGACAGCACATTTTTCCTTAATGGTAAATTTTCCTTAATTATATGGTATAAACCGACCTACTTTTAAAATGGAACCATTGGGTTCAAATATAATTATGGAACCGTTCGATTTGGTTCCGTACCATAATTAAATTTTTTAATATTTACAACAACACTACATAAATACAACTAATGATATTTCATTCGAAACTTTTACAAATTAACGTAGTCCAATTCAAAAACATATAGTCATGTAGTCATGAGCAAATTTCAAAGGCCCTGATATAAAATATGTTGCTCAAGTAAATTTTCAAGAAACAGAAAAAATCATGGGAAGCACAAAGATATGAAGTATAAATGCCAAAGAAGACGGCAGATATTAATGACTCAGGATGCTTATTCTGTTCCAAACTAGAATGAGCTATGATCTTAGCAACACATTCCCACTGACATAAATCATTGACATGCACTCCTGTCAGTCCACTCAGCAGTCAAATTCCGGGTATAAAGCTAAGCTGGGATGCATGGTGGACACATTGTCATTGACGTGTTCTTAACCGAAGCATGTCAACTAGCATAGATGAATGCATGGTATCAATAAATTGGTTTGACGGAACGCCTAGTATTAACTGCAAGACAAATGGTATAATATACGGTATAGAAAGATTTAAACAACCTGGCCATATGCCAAGACCCTGTTTAGCTCTTACAATATTTCCATCATCTTGAAGGTAGTCAATAAGAGGCACCTTAAAATCTCTTCCTCTGTGCTGATACCAAGATCCAGTTTCCTCATCCTGGACCATCAACATAACACCCAAAGACAACACAATTTTTTTTAAAGCTATAGGTTTTTGTAGATAAGTGAACAGAGCCTAAAACTATACATCAAGTTAAAGAAGAAAAACACTGAGAAGCTAGAAAAAGGAGAAAATTTACCTTCAAGACGAAATTTATAGCTGCGATTGAACTGTTTGTGTTGAAGTCAATCTTCACTTTATAAATTTCTTCTCCTTCCGACGATGCAAGTAATTTTTCTAAAGGAGTTTCGATTGCATAGTCCTAAATTGGTAATCAACATCAATATAAATTCAAGAATATGGAATGATTAAAATAAAGAACAAATAGTAAGCATCAATGGAGAAAAAAAAAAGAAAAAAGACCTTAATGGCAACAGAACCTGGAGGTCTCATATCTGGAGGGGGTTGATCCCAATCTCTGCAACCATGAGAACATAAAATTAATTTTACTATGTTGTGACTAGAATAATTATCTTAAACAAATTCACTGCATGCATGAACATATAAAAGGATTTGATCTCAAGTAGGAAACATTTAAATTTATGAAATTTCGTAATTCACAAGGCAAAAGCAAACCTGCCAACATCATCTATGTAATTAACTCCCCAGTGAAGAATCCACTTTCCTGGTATACCGCATCCCACGGTAAGCTGCCAACTCTCATCATCTTTACCATTTTCTAGTCTAATAGTTATCTTTCCCTCCACCTGCCATTCCGAGAAGTCGACAACCAATTAATAACCATACAAATCAAATATTGAAATTCATACATACACTTACTCAATCTATACTCTTAAAGCAAAAAACAACAGTAGGAGTTAGTAATCACAATAAACAACAAAACAAATCAAGAACGTATACAGATAAAAAGAAAGTGATTGAGCTAAAAAACTGGGGATTTCCCATTTCTCTCTCAAAAACTTGAAATTTAAAAACACAACAAAGAGATAAAGAAAAAGAAAAAGGAAAAATAATTTCAAAAAATCCAACTCTTGATGATTTTCTTTTTATCAATGTTAGATTTTCATGAAATCAAGAATTAAACTAAATCCAGCAAACACTTCAAAAATAAATGAGTTAATTTAATCAATGGTTACTAAACTTTGCTATAGGTTATTACTTACACACCGAAATTTAAAAAGTTACTCGTTTGATCTTTGTCATAAGTTTCTATTTGTTCACCCAAATTTGAACAAGTTTTGCTATACAAACATAGTGCTTGACATAGGGGATGACACAACACACACATGGGGAGGTCGGCATTATTTAATACATGTCGGAACCAGAATACAATGTGAGTGGTCGGTCAACCCCTATATCAAGCATTATGTTCATTTAGCTTAATTCAATTTGAACAAAATTGCCCATCCATCACCCATGTCATTTCCATCGGTTCACATGAATAAAAATCAACTTGATGGATGGGAAATCCTACGCGACACCGATAAAGTTTAAAAAATAACATAGTGAATAAAAAAATCCGCATGGTGCACGACGAAAATTGTCCATGCGAGTTACTAAAAATTACAACTGTTTTTTATTTACAAGAAGAAGGGGAGAACAATGGTGAACTTCAATAACAGAAATTGCCCATGCGATTGCATGGACAACTTTCGTCATGCGCCACATAGATTTTTTCGTCACGCTGTTATTCTTTTAATTCCTTCGGTGTCACGTATGATTTTCCATCCGTAAGTTGATTTTTTTGTCCTGGACTGATGAAAATGATAAGGATAACGGATGGGTAACTTTGTTAAAATTTAGGCCAGAAATGATCTCACGATACAACACATTCTCATAGTGCTAACTCATCAGAAGAAGAAGCTGCACAATCGGCAGCTCACGTTTCCAGCATGACAAGGAGCTCACGTTCAGCATGCTTCAGCTTTTCATTCTAGATTCTTCTAGCTTCTTCCTCAGTTTGTTAATTTGTTGATAGTTCGTTAGTTTTTAGTCTATAAATAAGTGCAATGTATTCACTTTTGTTTTAATGAGAAATGGAGTAAATCTTCTCCTTCTTCGTTCAATTTATCACGCTTTCTTCTATAATTGCCTTCTTCTATATTTGGCTTGTTGAATTTTACATGGTATCAGAGCGTGTAGCTGTAATTTCCAATTTTTAAATCAGATAGTTTATCTTTAAAAAGAAGTTCTGCTCCGGAATTTCTCACCTTAATTTCTCAGCCTCAACGCTTTACTTAAAACATGACGAGTTCAGCTGATTCTTTCTCTAATCCGGCTAATGATCCTATCAGCCACTACTATCTACATCCTAGCGACAATCCTGGGGCATTAATTGTCTCTGACATCTTCAATGGGGACAACTATACCTCTTGGAGTAGATCAATTTCCATGGCGTTAAGTGTGAAGAACAAATTAGGCTTCATTGACGGTTCATTAACCTCACCAGATCCGCCATCTGGTACCACATATAATTGTTCGGTTCGTGCAAATGATCTGGTATTATCCTGGCTATTGAACTCAATTAGCAAAGATATTCACCAAAGTTTGCTATATATTTCCTCAGCATATGAAGTATGGAGTGAGCTCAAAACTAGATACGTTCGAAGTGATGGTCCTAGAGTATATCATTTGGAGAAGTGTCTTGGCTCTATCTCTCAAGGATCACAAAGCCTCACTATGTATTACAACTCGTTCAAAGGTATTTGGGAAGAGTACACCAGCTACAGACCTCTGCCTAAATGCAGCTGTGGTAAACTTTCAAGTTGTACATGTGAGATATTGAAGAATATATCAGACACACAACAATCAGATGCTGTCATGAAATTTCTTATTGGACTAAATGAGTCTTATTCTGCACTAAGAAGCTAACTACTACTGACTTCTCCCTTACCATCATTAGCTCGAGTCTATGCTCTTATGCTTCAAGAAGAAAGTCAGAGAGATCTACAAAATTATTTGTTCCAAGAGTCATCTGCTATGACAGCAAGGCAACCTCATGGGAAATTTAGTAGACCTCCTGCCTGGAGAGATAAGAAGAAGTCAAAATGCACTCACTGTGGGTATTTAAACCATACTGCTGATAATTGTTTCCAACTCATAGGATATCCTCCTGGCTGGAAAGGACCTAAAGGTCCAAGGATGATGGCTGATAGCTCTGTTGCTCATGCTGTAAGCCCAGGCCAATTTGCAGACGATGAGGGTCCTGGTAGTTCATTTAATCGAGACCTTTTCCAACAATTCATGGCATTTGCAAAATCTCAGCACTCTAAACCACCTACCACAACATCTCAAACAGCAGCCACCATCACTTTAGGTATTTCTTTCTGTAGCTCAACCTATTCTAAGGCCATTACCTGGATAGTTGACACAGGTGCAACGGACCATATGGTATGTTCACCGACCTTCCTTACCTTTATTGACTCAACCATAACCAGTAAAGTCCACTTACCAAATGGCTCTTCCGTCCCAGTTAGCCATATTGGAAAGTTAGAATTTCTGATAATCTTCTCCTTGGAAATGTTCTTTGCGTACCCTCTTTTTCTTTCAATTTAATTTCAGTCTCTAAGTTAACAAAATTTTCCAATATTCATGTTATCTTCTCTGCATCCCATTGTTTTATACAGGACTTGGTCAGCATGAAGACGACTGGTTTTGCTAAGGAAGGAAATGACTTATATACCTGCTTATATACCTGCATCACTACTCAAGACAACTCTAAAACTCTACCTCATACCAGAAGCCCCACAGCTTATGCCTCAATTCATTCCAATCACCTCTGGCATTGCAGATTTGGACACATATCCAACATCAGACTGTCCAAGATTCCTTAAATTTCTTTTCATACTCCTTGTAAAAGTTTGGATAATTGTGAAATCTGCCCCTTGGCAAAACAGAAGAAATTACCCTTTCCTGTTAGTAATTCGGTATCAAATGAAATTTTTGATTTGATTCACTGTGAAATTTGGGGGCCTTTTCATGTACCTTCTTTCAATGGTTATCGATTTTTCCTCACCATAGTTGATGATTACTCTAGATATACTTGGACTTTCATCATGCAATCTAAATCTGAAACTCGAATCCACATAAAGAATTTTTACAAAATGGTCAGTACACAATTTAACACCAAAATAAAGACTTTCCGAACTGACAATGGTGCTGAGTTCCTTATGACCGAATTTTATAATTCTCTTGGCATCGTTCACCAGAAAAGCTACGTCGAATCCCCACAACAAAATGGTGATGTGGAGAGAAAGCATCAGTTCATCCTACAGGTAGCTAGGGCTCTCCTCTTTCAATCCAATGTCCCTCTCACATTCTAGAGTGACTGCATACTCACAGCAGTTCACGTTATTAACCGGGTTCCATCCCCAATTATTGGTAATAAAACTCCCTATGAACTGCTCTTCAAAAGGCCACCTGCTTATGATCATCTCAGAACATTTGGATGCTTATGCTTTGCCAGTACACTCAGCAGCCACAGAACTAAGTTTTCTCCTTATGCTACTAAGTGCATTTTTCTTGGCTATGCTCTTAGTTACAAAAGGTATAAAGTGTATGATCTGCAGAATCACAGAACCTTTGTTAGCCGAAATTTGATCTTCCATGAATCCACTTTCCCCTATAAAAATTCTTCACACCACTCACCTACTGATCCGCACATTTTCCCCATCTCTGAGCCATTCTTCGATCATTCTTATCCTCGCATACTACCAGTACATCAATCAGCAGAACTCGGCACTGATCATACACATATTAGCATTAATCCATTATCAGTTCAGGTTCCCTCTACTCCCTCATCTGACAATGACTCATTTCCTCATCAAGCTCCTCCCAGAAAATCTACCAGAACTAAGCATTTGCCTTCATATTTGACTGAGTATCATTGTGATTTGCCTTCTGCTTCCAGTGCAAACCAGTCCTCCTCAATGCTGGCCAATCAACCCACTTCAGGTAAACCTTATTCTATTTGTCATTTTATCTCTACAAATAGACTCTCCCCCAAACATAAGACATTTATTGTTTCTGTTTCTAGTGTTTTTGAACCAAAGTTCTATCGCCAAGCCATCAAATTCCCATACTGGCAGGATGCCATGAATTGTGAGATTAGTGCTCTTGAGAAGAATAACACTTGGACCTTCACTCCTCTGCCACCTGATAAGTGGACAATCGGCTACAAATGGGTTTACAAAGTGAAGTTTCACGCAGATGGCACTTTAGAAAGGTACAAGGCATGTCTAGTTGCCAAAGGCTATACCCAGCAAGAAGGGCTGGATTTTTTTGACAATTTCTCTCCTATGGCAAAACTAACCTCTGTTCGTGTGCTGTTAGCTATTGCATCAGCAAACAATTGGTTTCTGCATCAATTAGATGCTAACAAAGCATTCCTTCATGGCGACCTCCTTGAAGAGGTATACATGGACTTGCCCCAGGGGTACCCCAATTCTGATTCATCTCTTGTTTGCAAGGTCAATAAAAGTCTGTACGAACTCAAACAGGCGTCTCGCCAGTGGTTTGCTAAGCTTACTTCAAGCCTAACTTCTTATGGCTTTCTCCAGTCCAAGTCTGACTCCTCTTTATTCCTCAAGTCCACCACTGATTCCTTCATTGTTTTCCTGGTTTATGTAGATGACATTCTTCTTGTAAGCCACAATCTCCACGAAATTCAAATTATCAAGCAATTCCTAGATGAACAATTCACTATCAAAGACCTTGGTGAATTGAAATACATTCTTGGTCTGGAAATTGCTAGATCAGAACGTGGAATCAGTGTTTGCTAATGGAAATATGCTTTAGACATTCTTGAAGACTCTGGTTTTATTGGCTGCAAACCAGTGGCTTTCCCTATGGAATCTAATCTCAAACTCAAATGCGAAGATGGGGATCTCGTTCCTGATCCGACTACCTATAGAAGGCTCATTGGTCGATTAATATACCTCACCGTCACATGACCTGATCTAACTTATTATGTGTAGGTCCTTAGTCAATTCATGTCCAAACCAGCTCAATCTCATCTGGTTGCTGCTCACAGAGTCTTCGATACATTAAAGCTACCCCAGGATAAGGCCTTTTATTTCCCTCCAAATCCGATTTACACCTTAAAGCCTTTAGTGACAACGATTAGGCTGGTTGTCTTGAGACTAGACGAAGCGTTACTAGAATCGCCATCTTTCTTGGAGAATCCCTTGTCTCATGGAAATCCAAGAAGCAAACCACTATTAGCAGGTCCTCTGCTGAAGCTGAATAACGAGCTTTAGCGTCCACAACTTGTGAAATTCAGTGGTTACTTTACCTTTTGCATGATTTGAGCATCCCTCATTCTCGCCCTGCCTTCATATACACAGATAGTAAATCAGCTCTTTCAATTGCTACAAACCCTGTCCATCATGAAAGGACCAAACACATCCAAATCGACTGCCACCTTGTTCGTGAAAAACTACATTCTGGTTTGATAAAAATAATCCACCTGCTTTCCCTTCATCAAGGAGCAGATATTTTCACTAAACCACTTGGCTCAGTCTTGTTTCACACCCATATCTCCAAGATGGGCATTTTAAATATCCATGCCCCTCTTGAGGGGGGCTCTCACGATACAGCACATTCTCACAATGTTGACTCACCAGAAGAAGAAGATGCACAATCAGCAGCTCACGTTGCCAGCATGACAAGGAGTTCACGTTCAGCATGCCTCAGCCCTTCATTCTAGATTCTTCTAGTTTTTCCTCACTTTGTTAATTTGTTAATTTGTTGCTGGTTTGTTAGTTTTTAGTCTATAAATAAGTGCAATGTATTCACTTTTGATTGAATGAGAAATGGAGAAATCTTCTCCTTCTTCGTTCAATTTATCACGTTTCTTCTATAATTGCCTTCTTCTATATTTGGGTTGATGAATTTCACATTCTTGGTGATAAAATAATGAAAAGAGAAGAATCCTTGTAATACTAATTTTTTTATAGTACCTTGAATAGTTTATTGTACAAACAATGCTAAGATGGGTCGAAGGGTCGATAACGGTTTTTAAAATTTTTGTTTTGACAATTTCTAGTAATGTTTGAAGGAAAAAAAATGATATTAACCACTATATTTTTGTAATAAAGGTTATTTTCTTCACTTTCTATACTCTTGCAATTTTTCTTGGTGAAGACCTCTTCTCTACGAACAATTGACGTGCTCAACCCAGGACATATTATGCACACACGAAAGAGCAAATTTAGCAATAGCATGAGGAACCCATCGTTACTAATTTTTTAAATGATCGTGATTGTTTTTATATTTTTTCTAACTAATCTTTTTTTAATTTTCTGAGCATTTGATGAAGAAATGTAGTTTTTTGAATTAAATCGAGCCCTGTTTTATTTGACTAAAAAAATTGATAAAAATGTAAATTAAAGTTAATAATTAATTTTAATTATATATTTCATGAGATTTACAACTTTTTAACAACATATTCATCAATTTTTATTAAAAATATGATATTTAGTTGAACCGGTCGAGTATGTATCTGGTTAGGTTGAGTCCAAAATATTTACTTGAATTGGTCAAGCCAATCAACGAGAAAAGAGAGTAATTTCATGGAAAACAAAATAAAACGTAAGAGAAGAATGCGGATAGTCTTTTCTTCTCATTTTTAGCACTATATGAGTAAGTCTCTCAAATATAGAGTCAGTGTTTGGGAGAGTTTATAAATAGTTTAAATTATAAATAAATGAAAATAAATAGTGAATAGTGTTTATAATTTTCTCGGAAGGTGAATAAATTGATGCGAGTGTTTATAAATAATTTATGAACTTGAGCCAAATATAGAAAAAGTTAAATAATATTACATAACTAATTAGCAATATTCTAAAATGCGTAATGCGTTGCGAGGCGTCTAGGTCGAGAATCACGAGTTCAGGCGTATCAATGCGAAAAATAAGCGTCATTAATATGGAATATTTTTCATTATAATATTGTTTTTTAGTGTAGGATTACTTTCCTTAATAGTTGATTGTTTAATCTTTATTTTTTTTTATTTCCTTTTACAGTTATTTGTAATTCTATAAATAGGGTCTTCTACATTGTAATAATATCAAGTCAATATAATACAATTTATATTTCTTGACAGCAAGATGCCATGAATTGTGAGATTAGTGCTCTTGAGAAAAATAACACTTGGACCCTAACTCCTCTGCCACTTGGTAAACGCACAATCGGCTGTAAATGCGTTTACAAAGTAAAGTTTCACGCAGATGGAAGGCACGTCTTGTTGCCAAAGGCTACCCAGCAAGAAGGGCTAGATTTTTTTGACACTTTCTCTCCTGTGGCAAAACTGACCTTTGTTTGTGTGCTGTTAGCTGTTGCTATGGCAAACAATTGGTTTCTACAGCAATTAGATGTTAACAACGCGTTTCTTCATAGCGACCTCCTTGAAGAGGTATACATGGACTTGCCCCAGGGGTACCCCAATTCTGATTCATCTCTTGTTTGCAAGCTCAATAAAAGTTTGTACGGACTCAAACAGGCGTCTCGCCAATGGTTTGCTAAGCTTACTTCGAGCCTAACTTCTTACGGCTTTCTCCAGTCCAAGTCTGACTTCTCTTTATTCCTCAAGTCCACTGATGATTCCTTCATTGTTCTCTTGGTTTATGTAGATGACATTCTTCTTGCAAGCAACAATCTCCACGAAATTCATATTATCAAGCAATTCCTGGATGAACAATTCCCTATCAAAGACCTTGGTGAATTGAAATACATTCTTGGTCTGGAAATTGCTAGATCAGTACGTGGAATTAGTGTTTGCCGACGGAAATATGCTTTAGACATTCTTGAAGATTCTGGTTTCATTGGCTGCAAACCAGTGGCTTTCCCTATAGAATCTAATCTCAAGCTCAAATTCAAAGATGAGGATCTCGTTCCTGATCCACCTACCTATAGGAGGCTCATTGGTCAATTAATATACCTCACCATCACACGACCTGATCTAGCTTATTCTGTGCAGGTCCTAAGTCAATTCATGTCCAAACCAGCTCAATCTCATCTGGTTGCTGCTCACAGAGTTCTTCAATACATTAAAGCTACCCCAGGACAAGGTCTTTTCTTTCCCTCCAGATCTGATTTACACCTTAAAGCCTATAGTGACAGCGATTGGGCTGGTTGTCTTGAGACAAGACGAAATGTTACCGGAATTACAATCTTTCTTGGAGAATCACTTGTCTCCTGGAAATCCAAGAAGCAAACCACTATTAGTAGGTCCTCTGCTGAAGCTGAATATCGAGCTTTGGCGTCCACGACTTGTGAAATTCAATGGTTACTTTACCTTTTGCATGATTTGGGCATCCCTCATTCTCGCCCTGCCCTCATATACACAGACAGTAAATCAGCTCTTTCAATTGCTACAAACCATGTCCATCATGAAAGGGCCAAACACGTCCAAATCAATTGCCACCTTGTTCGTGAAAAACTACATTCTAATTTGATAAAAATAATCCACCTGCCTTCCCTTCATCAATGAGCAGATATTTTCACTAAACCACTAGGCTCAGTCTTGTTTCACACCCATATATCCAAGATGGGCATTTTAAATATCCATGCCCCTGTTGAGGGGGGCTCTCACGATACGGCACATTCTCATAGTGCTGACTAAGAAGCTGCACAATCGGCAGCTCACGTTTCCAGCATGACAAGGAGCTCACGTTCAGCATGCTTCAGCTTTTCATTCTAGATTCTTCTTACTTCTTCCTCAGTTTGTTAATTTGTTGATAGTTTGTTAGTTTTTAGTCTATAAATAAGTGCAACGTATTCACTTTTGTTTTAATGAGAAATGGAGTAAATCTTCTCCTTCTTCGTTCAATTCATCACGCTTTCTTCTATAATTGCCTTCTTCTATATTTGGATTGTTGAATTTTACAAATGACCGACCTTTTGAATTTTGAGAAGTGAGGTAACAAGTAACTGTAGCTAGAAAAGAAGTTAGGTAAGCAAGTAGTAACTATAGCATGACCATTGATTACTTTCACTGAAAAAAAAAAAAAAAAAAAAAGTCGCACCTCAAGTTTAAAAATTTTCCGAAAGTTTTATTAGTGTCATCATTATTGATCTCATCAAGGAAAACTCATACACGCGCAAATACATAACCCGATCATCTATAAGCGTAGATGCACAAAAATACGAGCGTACAAGTGCAACTTCGCAAATTTCGTATTGCCATGCGCATAAAACGAATTGCATACCTTTTCAGGTCGTTTTAATTGGAAAGTTTCACTAAACACGACGTCGGAAGATTCAGTTGTTTCGAAGATGGCAGTATCGGTGGAGCTGGCTCGGAGAGGAAGAGCTTTAGCCGGGTTGAGATGGCGTGAGCTAAGGATACACGCGCCATTGAAGATCGGACTTGGGCTCCGAGTGTAATTTAGATAAAAGAACCGGGCCTTTCCGAAACTCGGATAGGTAGGCCGGTTGAGGCGGGGGTGGCAGAAGAGCGGCGGAATTACAACAGTAGACATTTTTTTAATCCCCTGGGCACAGGGGCGTTTAGTGGATCTTTTTGCGGATATTTATGATTAGCGACGGATGATATGTATTATTTATAAAATTTGAATGTGTGGGTTTCTATTTGGTTGTAATTGTAAAATAGACCCTAAAAGCTTCAAAATTTGTACCCTGATCCTTATAGTTAAACATTTAAAGTTCTAATGAAGTAACATAGTAAATTAGTAATAATCGAGAAAAAATATACACAAACTTTAAGCCCATATAGAATTTGTGTTTTTCTCGTAACTTATTTCGCTGCTTAATTTTTTAATCTTTCATTTTTGTGTTTCCCCGTTAGAACTATTAAAATTTTTTTAAATACTTTTATTTGTGTCGGAAGTTTTTCGTTCACAACTTTATATATTTATATTCATCTTCATGTCAATGTAACTTCATGGTTTAGGTTGAGATTCTCATGCAATAACATGATTTGCATATGACTTTTTGACATTCTTAGTTATCAGCCACAATGTTGGTGGCCTCATTCATTGTGTCATCCATGTTAAAGAAATGTTTAAAACCCTATAGAGAATGGAGAGACATGATAAATTTCAAGAAACTATAATTGAAGAAAAGTTTATTCACTAGAAATGCTTTCTAACTATTTTTAATATGAAGAAGATATGCTATTGGTTAATCAGTATAGTGAACATCTTTGAAATGCTTGATCATTTATGCTATTGAATAATCGGAAGGCTTGATCATTGATTTTAAGATTAGTGTTTAGGATTTTGAAATGGAACCCAAATGTAATTTATATTACATCTAAATGGCATTTAAATTCTCAAACTTTTTGGACTGAAATCAATTCCTACTTTTTTTTACTTTGACACGTCATAAAAATGTGTATAAATTAAGCTCCTATTTGACCACAATTAAATTTTTTATGTTTTTGTCTCAATTTTTGGGTTATTAAGGGATGTTAAACGAAATCGAAATATTACATTTTAATATCCTTTATAAGTGCTTGCGGTCTAGTTTTTCATTTCGTTAACAACCCACGAAATGGGCAACCTTAGTTAATGTTAAGCGAGTCAAAGTAACTTGTTCCTAACTAATAATTCGAGAATTTCAATAACATGTAACCTTAAAAAAAATAAAAAAAATTGACGATCGTACGTTAGCCGAACTATAAATTGTCTACGTCATCTTGAAAGTCATTTCGAGAACTACATCATAAATATATCGAATGGTCCAAACAAACATTAAAAAATTGTTAAATATACGTCAAAAAAGAGACGTCTAACTCTTCAAATGGATTACTTTGACGAGCAGTAACATTTGCTACGATTTTTAATAGAACAAAAAACATGTAACATTTATATGATGTTAATTTCATTTAAAGTCTCTCACACACTTACATGTGATATCATTGAGATTTCAATATGCAATAAGAAAGACATATAAGCACGGTATTATGAAGCATAAGGGGTAGAGAGAAAGAGATAGGGAAGACTTAAGTTTGAAGAACTAATGTAACGGATGTAAATATGTTAGTTTTGATCTTCACTTCTATTTTCGCATGTATGATTATGCCTATTAACTCAAAATGTCTATTATATCAATTACCATTTTCATCGACCTCAGAATTTTAAAAAAGAAAAGAAGTAGAAAAGTTTATTGGGTGTTTTTACAATTTAATGAAGTATGGGGCCACAAGTATTTTTTTTTCTTGGGAAAAGTTGATAACTTTTCGCGAAGATTCGAAGTGTAGCCAGCAGATTTTTTAATGATAAAGTAATCAGAAAAGATCATCAGTAAATGTATTTTCTTGTTTGACAATGCTTTTGTTTATAATAAATTGTCACTTTTTGCGGTTCTCAGTAGTTAATAAAGTGGAGCATCCTTTTTTTTAATGCGATTAGATGATCCTAATTATTTTTCAAGTGAATAAGTTTAACTCTAACCAAACATAAAAAGTGCATGTTTGATGGAATTAAAATCAGATTTTTAATAAATTTTGATAAAAGATTATGAAATTTGTGGTTGAAAAATTGTGAATCTCATGAAATATTTAATTAAAATTAATTGTTGATTAAGAAACTCCTATGCGCTTATTAGAAATGGTAAAATTAAGACTTTTGATAAACTAACGAACAATTGGATGAAACTGTCTCGAGGTCCTTTGGCCTCAATTTATTAAAAGATGCGAGACGTAGACATTAAAATTAGAAAGTTTAGGATTTGACGGCATAAGGACCTAAAGGTATCAGTAATAACTGGTTTTATTATGATATAGCTTATGTTATTCATATAAATCTATTATACGCATCCGCATCTAGCATGTATATAAATGCTTAACAAGTTAAATTATTGAGTGCTCCAATTAGATGATGACACATGGGAGCATAGGGAATCATTGTTCATCACCTTGTGTTGTTTCGGACGTATATTTTAGTGATTAATAATTAAAAATAATATATCATTTGATTTTTTGGATGTAGTATAATTAGAATTACTCAAATAAAAAAAAAAAAAAATGAAAGTCTTGCATACAAGTTTGATTTTACTGTGCTAAACTCCAATTAATAAAAAAAAAAATCTTTATATTTTATTCAATTTCACTCGATCTTGGTTCGAGTTGCCAAATTTAGAATAGTTGTCAAGTAATAAAGGTCATTGACCCCAACTACCTATGCTAAACTAGCAATCAAACTGTCAGTTACCTTGTATAACGTACTAACCTTACCCTTCAAATAGCGATCAAGTTATTTTGTACACTATATTTTTTTCTAACTTAAAAAACTTAATCGAGTTATGGTACTATAATTTGTCCGGATTAGTAATAATAATTAGTAATTATGAACGTATAGTTAAAATTAATATTTGACTTTGATTCAATTTATAAGTTGTATTTAAAGGAAAGCTTCGTCAAATTGTAGAAAATAGAAGTTTATTGAAATTCTCTTGTTCATGGAAAAATTTTCAATGTAGAAAAGTTAAGAAATAAGCAAAAATGAACAAAAAAAAGGGGGCCAAAAGACAATTGATTTATGCTTTTGTATGAATTAAATTTACTTACAAATAATACAAAAATAAACAATTTTTGAACTGTAGAAATATAATTATGATTTAAATTCTCGTACAATTCTCATGGCTTAATTTGGTCACAAGCATCTTAATGTTAAGGGATTAAAAATAGCATATTCTGCCCTAGCCAATCTGAAAACAAAATTGGCCCATATTATTTTTTTGAATTTAGAAAAATATTCTCCTTTAAATGAATCACTATAAAATAAAAGAGGCTAAACAAATCTCACACGCGTCGCCATTTCTCGTCGTCGTCAAAAATCCCCTTTCAAAAAAAAAAAATCTCAAAAATTCCCACACCGCCGCCCTGCTTCTCTATTATCTCACGCAACCAACCACTCCTCCTCCATTTTTCTCCATTTTCCCACGCAACCTCTCATTGGACTACCTCAGGTTTTGATTATATTTTCGGGTTTTGCCGTTTTGGGTTGTTACGGTTTCGTTCTTTTTCCCTTCTCTCTACATGCTGTTCTAATTTTTTCACCAAACCTTGTTTTTGCAGGATTTCGAAGTTTTCGACGTCTGAGTAATGGATTGCTCAAAATAGTGATTAAAATAAGGTATTTTAATACCAATTGTTTTTCAGTAGTTTTCAATTTTTTGCTGTGAAGATATTTTCTATTACCATCAATTTATTGCCATTCTTAAACGCAATTTAACTACGTATTTTTTTTTTTTTGGGATTTTTAGTTAATTTAATTGATGATTGTTGAAATTTAATTTTACCGGCATGTTTGACTTGTTTACTTCGGATCTGATTTCTCAAGGAGTTTCACTTTCTTATTATCTTTGCTTCATCTCTTTCGCAATCAAAATCAAATCTGGTACTTCTNTTACTCCGTAGTGCTGAGTATTTTTTTGTGGTATTCGTTCTTTAAATAATAATTAATTGAGGATTTGGAGTGAAGATAAGAAATAAAGAAAAAAGTTAAATATTTATTCAATAGAAATTTTGGTTGATCCTTTTATGTGAATTTTCGGGTGTTTTCATAAGATCAGGATATTAAATTTTTATCAAGTTAGAACTTTCTTATGTCATACGATGAAGTTATGAAATGCTTAATTAGTTAAGTTTCTTTTTTTTGGATAGTTTGGATTATTAGATTTGCACTGCCGAGAACCAAGTTAATGTTTTGCTTTAGCAACTTTCACTCATCTCAACTGGCTGCGCAAGGGGCACTAGCGTGCGTGCCTCCGTGCATGCAGACGGAGGCACAACGCACCATCGTGCGTGCACAGAGGTACGCTGCGCACGGAGGCACAGCGTGTCTCTGTGCTGGTGCCCCATGCGGCCAACGTGCCTTCGTCCGCGTGTAATACTTCAATTTCTCGATGAAGAGAAATTCAAAGAGGCAGTTCACTAGTAAAATTTCAATTTTCCAATTTTCTTTTCCGGTTTAATTCAAAATTTCTGGTTGTTGACTAATTGAGGAAAAAGAATTTTAAAAAGATGATTCTTCACTCTCTTTCACAGAAATTTTTGCAGATTCGCGATTCGAACTGGTCGACGATTTAGAGCAAGAAGAATGTTACTGGGTTTTTCCCTTTTCAAAGTCTTGGATGAAGGCAAGCTATCCAAAGTTGAGGTATTTTTAGTAGGTAAGGATAAGTTTTTGATCCTATTGTTCATCGATTCCTTTTTATTTCTGATAAATTTTCTGATCAAATCAAATAATTAGTAACTTTACGCAATTTTTATATAGAATATATTGATAGATAGATGTAATTGAAAAGG